GTTGCAGGAACAGCAACTCATATTCCGCTTGGGAACCCTGCAGCCCAATGGTATCAATGTGGGTTTCACATGCTTCAAAATCTCCCCTCCCCCTACCGCATCCCAAAACCAGTCCAGCTTGTCCCCGCCTCTCTAACCTGTTCTTCCTCCCACCTCAAGCCGCACCCCCATCTCCTACCGACTAACCTCATCCCGCCCCCTTGACCTGTCCGTCCTCCCTGGACTGACCTATCCCCTCCCTAACTCCCCACCTACACTCACCTTTACTGGCCCCAGCCCCGCCTCTTCGACCTGTTTGTTTCCTCTCCACCTATCCATCTTCTATCCGGCTCCCACTCTCTCCCTATTCATTTCAGAACCCCCTTCCCCTCCCCCTTTTCTGATGAAGGGTCGAGGCCCGAAACGTCAGCCTTTCTGCTCCTGTGATGCTGCTTGGCCTGCTGTGTTCATCCAGCCCTGCACCTTGTTGTCTCGGATTCTCCAGCATCTGCAGTTCCTACTATCTCTGATGCAGATTATCAGGTACAGTTACTGAGTTGCATTGAAACTAACACTTACTTAGAACTGAGGTACATTTGGACCATTCCATAATGGAGTTAGATTACCAAGGAACTCACAGGTAACTAGATGCAAATTACATAGTGTGTATATGGAAGTAAATGAATTAAACAGTCTGTTGGAAACGAGTTGTACTTCACCAAAACAACAGGTTCCTTAGTATGGATCATCATGAGCCTACACAGGCTGCTGGGAACAAGTTACACAACTGAACAGCACCTGAGAACGAGCTATATTGGGCCTGAAAGGGTACCTGGAATGGGCAGGCTCCTGGGAATGAGTTATAAGGGATCTAAATTTTTAAGATGGAGGTAATTGCATTAAAATTGCAAAGTATTTCATGATCAACTAGAAATAAAGTGTAAACGTGACTAAGAAACATCACTTACAACATTCGCTCTCCTTTAAGTCCACATAGTATAGTGCTGATCTGATACAGAAACAGAAATAAGTAAGGCCATGTGACAAAACAGTAAATGAAGTGACACATTATATTAAGTAAAATGATCTGGACATTGATAGCAGTCTACTCCTCTAAGTGACTGCACAATTAAGTTTGCATCTTCGAGTCTCCAGGCACAGTGGATTTTCAGCAGGCGTCACCACTAGACTTCTTTCACTGCGGGAAGGTAAAGAGCAACATTGATAAATTCCTGGAAGAAGATTGTTGGCCTGTCCTTTCAGTCTGAAAGTTGTACATTTCTCAATAAGAAGCGGGGGAAAAGCAATAATTCAAATTTGTGTTTCTTCAGTATTTTTCTAGAAACATCAGAAATGCACTGAGGTAATAATGCTGGAAGGCTTTATACTTGTTTACAAGATTTAGGCGTACTGTGAGCTAATTTTGGCAACTATCAAACACATAAAATTTTCTTTTCTATCTCTCGACAACATGCTGAAATTGCTGCCCCTGAAGGTTCAGTTTCATATCCCACAGCTCTTCTGGTGCTTTTTTTTTTTGAGTTTCTCAGGATGACAGATAGCCATGCTGTTAAATTAACCAGCCTTCAATTCCAGATTCTTGATGTCAGCATCAAAAAAGTCAAATTAGAGGTAGCACAGCATCTGACATAGAAGAAAGTAAGCCAGCATCCTTGAAAGATTAGAAGTTTTACTATGTCCACAAATGCTGTCAGATCTACTCATTATAAGGGAGCATTTCCCCTTTTTATTTTAAAACATCTCCTTCTCAATCTCAGCCTGTACCTCAGCCCAGATCTTAGACAAGTGTCCCTCAACAAGAATTTGGTAACCCTTTGCAGTTCCCAAAACTGGCTGTCTCCTTTGTAGTTCAGGTTAATTTGTTCTAAATATACATTTGTGATTTTGATGGTTAACAGATTGACTGAAAGTTAATTGTTGTCAACTCTCCTAAATTTGCTCATGAGTAAATAAGAATTATATGTAACTGTATTACCAGATAAATAAACGTTGATGTTTTATTTTGGCTTGTTAATCCTAAATAGGGATCAATATACATCTCAATTTAGCTAATTTACACTTCCCATTAATTTTCTATGTTTTTGCAGGGACAGTTTGAGAGTATTTTGAAACCTTTAAATCATGTTATACATAGATAACTAGATTCGCTTTCTTTGTAAAAAAAATTCTTTTGCATAATAAACTTCTGTTTTGTTGTTAAAACCAAATCTGTAGCCTTGTGTATTTATACTTTGGTGAAAGACCACCACTTTAAAAGAAAAAAAGTGAATCTATCAAGCCAGATTTCATTTTGGGATCTGACTTGCCCAGGAGTAACATCAGCTGGGATAGTAATGTGTGGTGCCTCTTGCTGAGATCAGAGTTCACTGAATTTAAGAGGGATATGAGTTTATTTTAAAGAATGAGTACGTAGAGGTGCCTAATATAAAAGCTATGCTGTGGTTAAGTTAATTACATGGATTTTGAAAATGGCTTTGAATGTTGCTAAGTTTTCTGGATGTAGGAGAGCAGTGGATTATGTGAAATGGTTGACTAAGGCTAAACTAAGAGAGTTAACAAATAAATTGAAAGTAGAAGTAAAAGCAGGATCACGTTAAGGCAAAGATGTTTCATATGATTATCAAACATTTAGAATAAGATGACAGGAAATCTAAAATCGAGATGTCACAGCTCAAATTAGCTAGGAAACAGCTAGAAATGAAAACAAAACCTGGAAGTAGAAGAGAAAGAAATGACAAAGAGAGAAAACAGAAAATTAGAAAGTAAGGAGAAAAAAAACAGAAACAGAAAAGGAAATTGAATTAAAAAGCTTGAATTCTAAAGAGATAGGGTAACTAGATGACAAGTTGGCTACTGAAAAACTTAAAGTAAAGATAAAAAATGGACAGTTGCTTAGAGGATGATTCTGATTCCAATGAGGATTTTAATTTCACTAAAAATCTATTCTTAGTGCTGAAACTTACTGAGGATGGAGTGGAAAAATATTTAGCCTAATTTGAGAAGGTAGCTGGATAGAAGAAGTGGCCGAAAGATGTTTGGACATTAATGTTACAAAGCATTTTGACAGGTACAGCTATAATTATGTAAACCAATTTGTCAGAGGAGCAATCTGTAATTTATGCAACTGTTAAAAAAGCTATTCTCAATGCTTACGAGCTTGATCCTGAAGCTTATCAATTAGAATTTACCACTACAAGAAAGAAACTAATCAGCCATTTGTAGGTTTTGCAAGCACAAAAACATATGCTGTATGGGCAGTGATTTTGCTCACGAAAGCTAGAGAAAAGTTGAGACACCATAAAGTAAATTATGATGCTGGAAGAATTTAGAACTAACATTCCTAAAAACTCACTTAAATGAGTGTCAAGTATCAAGATCAGAGAAGTGGTAGATCTAGCAAATACTTACATTTGCATAGACAGTTACAGATGGGGAAATAGTCATTAGGCAAACTTCAAGGAAATTAGAGGAAGAGAAAATCTGCAGATGGATCCGGCATTCGTTTTAGGGACAAACAGAAGGATGCCAAAGTAATAAAGGAAAAAGGTTCCAATCAAAAAATGAGATAAATAAAATAACATGATTCTATTTTAATAAGACTAGACTACCAAAGCTGGCTGTCAGATGTTAAATGAAAGACCAATTTAGAACGTTTAAAGAATCTTCAGAAAAGGACAAATCTGTAATTGAAATGGGTATTAAAACTGCAGCAGTAATATAAAGAAACATGTATCTTTAGAAATGTACCAAGAAGGAATAGATGATTCAAGACAATCATGAAAATTAGTCTTCCA